GCAGTGGCGGCCTTAGGGGGTGGCGAGCAGGGCAATCGCCCGGGGCCTCGCTCTTGGAGGGGCCTCGCGCAACAACCAAGTAGAAAAAAGTTGATATTTAAAACTTTTTATTTTATCCTTGGCTATTAGTTATAACAATAAAATAAATTAAATTTATAGTACAGTTTATATTAATATTAATAAGTGCCTACTATTTCAATTCACATAGGACAAGGGCCTCGCAAAGATCTGCCGCCCAGGGCCTCGCAATGGATAAGGCCGCTGCTGTATATATGTGTGAGGGACATGATTTTGTTCACCTTCTTTGAAGCTTAATAACTTCTGCGCTTTCTGCCGAAAATTTCTAAAATTCGGCGGGAAAGTTTGTGTATGAGGGAAGGGTCGTGTATTAAATTTTTTATTTCTAGTAAATCGTTACTTTGATCTAATTAAATGGACGAAATTGAATAATGACATAAAACATAATGAAAAAATGAATTTTTATGCTCTTTTAAGCAATTAAAATCCAAAGTATCATGTACAATAAACGTCTGATTTAATTAACATTATATTTAACTGTAATACTGTTTGGACACTGTATTTTGTGCCAAGTGAGATTTTTCGGATAATCACGCGATATTGCATCACTTGTCATTTTAACTTTCGAGACTCATTCATTAATCATTTTAATTAATTTCATTCCTCCAAAATACTAGTCATTTAATATTATATTAACAAACATACATTTTCGTTTTTTTTCTTTGTTGCAGTGTTTAATTAGCTTTTACTAACAAGTAGGCCTGTACATATAAAGGCATAGTTGTTTTTTTCGTCACTTAACGCGTTATTAACAAGTAATGAAAATTTATTTAAATCCCTTGTTATGTACAGTCACATAAGAACTACAAAAGTAAAAATGGCACATTATTTTATAAATATTCTATTTTCAAATTATTAGGCTTTTATTAATAGATTAAAAGTAACCTCAAAACGTTACGTCAGGGCGTAGACGATCCACAAATGAAATGTTCATATTTAAAAAATAGGTTGTAAATACCCAATATATTTAAATAAAACCTTCAAAAAGACTACAAAACAGTTGGACAGATCTCGAAAGAACTATTAAACATACACATACTTCTTCTAGATTTTCCGATAACATGGTGCGACCAAAATCTCTATCGTTGTAAATCTAATGGAAAAAATGCTAAATTTGCTATTGTCTAGATACAGAACATTCCAACGAACTTATTCAAAATTTAAGATAATCGCACTTCTCACTGCGGACACTAAATATTTTAAATTTTATCCAAATCGGCTCGTTGGTCTCGGAGATATTAATTGTCAAATTTGGCACTTTAACAATAGAAGTGTGGCTGAGCTCTACTATATCGATGTTATAAATAATACACGATCGGATGAGAATTTATCAACGATGATACCCATTTACTGTTAACCACAAATTAGATTTGTGACTGAAGAAGTGTTGAGTTCCATCTGTGAATGATAAATTGAACTTTGTTTACATTTCAAAATTGACATTTATTCGAAAGAAAGTTTTTTCATTTTCTTTTGTATAAAAATTGAATTCAAATAATAATAATTTAAATATTCGTTGTTGCAGGAACAGGAAGAAACAGATTGAGATGAGTATCCGAAATTCTCAAATGAAGAGAAGTCTTCTTGGTCAGAGTATCCGAAATTCTCAAATGAAAAAGAAAAGTTTGGAAAAGATGAAGGAAGAAAAGAAATTGGTTGATCCCGATACAATGCCAACTTCACAATATCCTACGAATGTTCAATATTGATTCATATTCTATCCAGTTTTTAAAAATTTCAACGAGAGATTTTCAAAATCTATTTATTTCATGCGAAAGTATTGTAAATAGCCTCTAAATTCGACATTTAAGACGAATTGAACCTAATGATTTCTGCAATATTTTGACAAAAGTTCGTGAAAGAAAATAATTCAACAATATATAAATCTCATCTTTATTGAAAATTTATTGCACATTAAAATACTTTTTTACTTGTATAAGAATAATCTCGTGTCGTCATTAGTGTTTTAACCCCTTCAGTTTGTACATAGCAAGAGATTAGTGATTTAATTCGAAGTGTAAAGCATTGAAGTCTATTCTGATCAGATTAGCAATTTCAGAAAGTAAAGTGTTCTTATTTATTAAGTGAATATATTTGCGCAAACTGAGAAAGTAAATTTGGTAAATCGTTTTTATACTTGCTACGAAAAGTTTTTTTTTCTAATTCAGAGAGCAAATATCAATAATTCATTTCAAGTTATAAATTTGTCGTTTGAAAAATTAAAGATTAAGTTACGGTTTTATATTATAAAATGGTATAATATATTTTAAACACATTTCGGTTTCTGAAATATTTCATATTTATTATTATAAATACAAAATCTTTTATATATAACAGAGGAAAAGTTTGAGGAATGGAAAAAACGTCTTCCCCATATTTAGACTTTCGGGAACTTAAAATATCCAAAAATACCAAAAAAAGTATTTCGTTTTTTTAAAAATAAATGTGGTTCTTTGTGTGTGAAACGATTCTATTCGGGCTATTTGAAGTTTAATAACTCCGATACTTCTTGTCAAAAATTCCTAAAATTTTGCAGCGAAATTTTTGTATTGAGGGTTGATGGTATTAAATTTTGTTACTTAGAGGTCGAGGAGTGATGAGATAAAGGAGAGTCCGAGTTAATAAGGATTTTACTCGTTACCAGTATTTACAAGTTTTTGTAAAATTCCTGTCTACTTTTAAAATTCAACTTTTTGCCATTTTATAATAATTAAAAAATATAAAAATGTTTTAAAAATATAAATATCATAACAGAGGCGTCACACGCAATTTAAATGCTGCCCAGAAAGTTTCGATAATAACTATTGAATTTTATAAAAAAGTTGTGAATACTAATAACGTGAAAAATAGTCATCGAGTCTGGCTCTTCTCAAGATATGACAGAATTCCCGTTCATCTTTACACCCCTAGTCTTTTAACCAACAAAATTTAATACCATTACATCCCCTAATATACAAATTACCCTGCTAAATTTCGGAAATTTTCGACAAGAAGCGCACGAGTTATTAAGTTTCAAACAGGGTGAACAAAATTGTGCCACACAAACACACACACACACAATAACATACTGTATATGCATACACAAATAACCCCGAAATTTCGAAATGCAAGGTGTCCCGAGTCCAAAAATGTATAAATCCTAAGAACATTTTTTGACCTATGGCCATACTTTTCCTCTTTTATGTATATAACAGAGCCGAGAAAGTAATTAATTGTTTAATACGTGTGTAATTCAATTATTAACAATTACAAATATAAGACAATAAACACTCTGTCAAGAAACTAGTTTAATTCTTCGAAAATTAAAACTTAGAAACCAATCGTATGAATTTCGCATGAAAGTATTCCATTTTGAAAATCTCTTTTTGCAGTTTTGAAAAAAAAAAAAAAAGTTTAGATAACATCAATATTAAATATTCGCATGTTAATGTGAACTTGGCGGTGTATCGAGATCAGGACTTTTCTTTTTATCATTCATCATTTCCAATCTTTTCTTTCTCATGTCCACGAGAATTTCGGATGCTCTGAACACTTCTGGATCTGTTTCTTCCTGTTCCTGCAACAACGAATATATAAATTATTATTATTTGAATTCAATTTTTATACAAAACAAAATGAAAAACTTTCTTTCGAATAAATTTCAATTTTGAAATGCAAACAGAATTCAATTTATCATTCGCAAATGGGAACTCAACATTTCTTCAGTCACAAATCTAATTTGTGGTTAAAAGTAAATGTGTATCATCGTTAATGAATTCTCATCCGATTGTGTAATATTTATTAATATAACATCGGATCAGTAGAGCTCAGCCACGCGTGTAAAGTTAAAGTGCCAAATTTGACCATTAATATCTTCAAGACCAACAAACTGATTTGGATAAAATTTAAAATACAGTAAAGCGTCGATTATCCGAAAGTCAATCATCCGAAATAATTCCAGTTGGCAAATTTAAATTTTCGCCAGTGCCGTGGCGCTGCAATCTTTGGCTATGTCTTGGGCTACTCAAATATTTTACGTTTTTGATACTAAATTAACTTCTGAAGTATCATTTTTTATTGTTTTTATATTTTTTAATATATTTATTTTGTTCGTACAAAATAAAAAAATAATTTTTAACGATACAATAGTCTTCGTTAGGCTTAACATCGA